CTACGAGCGGCTCTCGACACGGATCCTGTTCCGCTTTTGGCAACTGAGCTGCAAAAACTTAGTGAAGCCAGCCAGCAATGTGAAATTACGCCGTGCATGGAGGGGGCGTACAACGTCATGTTCAATGGGCCGACAGACAAACCGGGATATATCCATCCGTGGCGGCAGGTCAATTTACCAGCAAAAGAGTGTACCTGCGGAAATTGGCAAGACAAAGAGTTTCCGTGCGATCACGCAGTTGCAGCGGAAGTGTGTGAAGGCCAAGCTCTTGACACTCTATTCGACTCGACTCGAATGTCAATCGCCCAGTTTCGACTCTCTTACCACGTACCGTTTCAGCCGTGGCCGACTACCGTGACCCTAGCCTCTGATCTATCGGTACGTATGCCCTGTATTCAGTCAGATCCACCCGAGCTGGGCAAACGAGGTTTAAAGCCAGGGCCTAAGCCAAAACACAAGCGGAAAAAGGCAAAGGGAGGTGACTAGAGTTGGGTAAGAGCACGGACACATCTCAGTGCTTAGCACTGAGATATGGAAATTCCTCGGCAAATCACCAATCAAAGTTGGGACAAGTACGATCCGACGATACATAAAGCTCCCGATCAGGACTTTCACCGGAATTGGGTACCGAGCCGACGTCTCCTTAATAATCCTGCCTATTTCCACCCTCGCCACACTATCAGACTGCAACCTCTTCCCTACTACCCACTGAAGCATTTGTAGCTATTGGATGAAGTATGAACCAGTGTCTGCAGTGTACAGCGGAGTTAAATTGGCGTTCGTAACAGGCTATCCGAAATGTAAATTCGCAATTCATTAGAACTGTCGTTACTACTTATTGTTGCGTAAAGGTGTAATGGTTACGTAAGCAGGGGTATCCGTAAGGGTACCCGTTAGATACTGGTATATATAGACGTGGGGATTTTATCTTTTATCCGGTGGACCACATAAAAAATGTAAGGAGATGTCATGCCACAACAACTTCGACTAGATTACTGTGAGGAGGCATTCAGTTGAAGGGCGACCCCTTCACTCCCAGTAACAAGGGAACGTCCCCGACTCTACTATCTCGGGGTAGTGATTTTGCCGCGGTGCGCTTGCTGTCTATGATTTGCGGGATCGAGATCACGGTGGTGTTGGGCATGGTTGGGCAGTAGACTACCTAGATGAAGGTGCTGTGGATTTCGTAGCAGCTCATGGCTTTCAGCATGGTGGCGTTGGTGGATCCCCGGGTGCAGAATCTTGCAACGTCAGTACTGGGGGATTACGATGAAACGTTGTAGCTGATCTCATGGTGTACTGGGGCTTACGGTGAAACCTTGTAGTTTATCTCATGGTGCCATTTGCCGTGGTGGGGACGCATCCAAACAAAGACCAGCTCCATGCACCTCACGTTGTCGGCTGATCAAAATGCTGGATGTCGTCCAGAAGCGAAAACCAGCTATACAAGATCGTGTTAACGTGATGAGACGCTCTTGACTACCTGTGGAGACGGTGGGTGCTGATCGTTCAAATTCTTATCGAGATAATCTTCTTTTACAATGAACAATGTCTTGATTTCTTTGACTAACGATGTGGGGTTGGAAGCTTTAATGCTAATTTTTTTTATGACTGTGCGTGGCTCATGCTGGGTTAGATTCGAGCACTGTTGCGTTCCGGATTGAGTCATCGGGGCTCAACGGAATGTCATGTTCTGCGTGCGTGGTGCTGGTGTTTGGAGAAACGTCGCTGTTTAGCTGGTCCAGGCCGATCTTCGCGCGATGACGTTGGATTTTTCTGCTTTTTGGTGCTGCAGACACGATAAGCGGCATGCGCGTTTGGTCGTCTTCTTTGGAAATACTGTTGTCTTCATGGCGTCAAACTTGTGTGATTCCCAACCGTTTGTTAGTCGTCACTGTGTTGGAGCAGACTGCCACAGCCGTGTACTGTACTTACACCTGTGGTCCAACGGCGCACGCTCGATTGCAGCAGCTTCTCCAATCTAACACCCCTGGAGTAGTAGCAGCTAACCGAAGATCTAAGTATTGTGATCTAGAACCGATGGGATGAAGAGCGGGGTGACAGAGCCTAGTTGGCGACGGTCTACTTCGTGATCACTTAGTGTTTAACGCAACCAGTGAGGCCAAATCGCATCTGGGAATCCCTGTTTCGTAGTAATAGGCATATTAATATTTATAGCGTTCAGTTTTGTCGTGTGGGTGTGCCTAATTGTTTCTAGCTGGGTAGTGCGTCATGACACGAAACACCAGTCAGCGCCGAGTGAGTTGAGTTCAAGCTTTGAACATTGCATGTACCAATATTTGTATGTTGAGTATGTTTCTGCTGATTTCTTCAGCACTAGGACTAGCAATTTTGTTTTAACCCCTCTAGCCCCGCTTCCGGTATTCTACAGGATAAAAACTTTCGTATCCTGTATTCTACAGGATAAGAAATCAGGCCATTTTGCCCTTTACAAATTATAAGTCACTCAATACAAACTTCAAGTGAGGTTACCAAATATAAATTTTTTGACAATGATGTAGCCAACCTCAGGCCAATAATTCGTGGCCAGCAATATCCCGAGATTTAGAGAGAGCGCCAATTTTCGCGCCATTCTCGATTTAGACGAGGGAGAAACAGCGCCATGCAGGAGCGAAGAATTCGGCCAATTACGTGGGGGCAACTGTGGACCAGACTCAAGAAGCTAGGGTGGCAATTTGAGTGCCCAAAGGGGCTCGCGACCGACAATCGCTACTTTACACCTGATGGATGGAAGAAAAGACCTAATGGAACACATTTTGTCGACTTTTTCGACGGAGCTGACGAAGTATGACAACACGTATCAGTCGGGGTACGAATCATCGCATTTTTTTTATTGTTCTATTGTTACTAACTCCTATCACAGTTCTCTATGACATGCCACCTGCCAAACGACACGCCTCCGCTTCCACAGTGAGCTGCCCTCTATCGAATCCGCCGGGTGTCCCCGAGCCGCCAGGCAACCCTAACGTGATTGCGCCTGCCAAGTCACCTGCGAAGGCCCCGGCCAAGTCGCCTGCGAAGGCGCCTGCCAAGTCACCAACCAAGACGCCTGTCAAGTCACCAACCAAGACACCGGCCAAGGCGCCGGCCAAGTTGCCCGCCCAAGCTGCTGCTAAGGCCCAGACGACAAGAAAGAAACGTGCGCGTATAGCGGTCGCTGCGTTTCCGGTACCGTCACTACGTCCAGTGCGTTTGTGTACTGTACGTGCAGAAGAAGTGAACATATCTGTTGGTGATGACCGTCTAAGCTTTGGCGACGAGGACGACTTTCAAGTCGATGAAGGCGATGAGTCTGATGTTGAAGGTACACGTAAAAGCTCAGCCGATGATGAAGAAGAAAATACCAGCAATGAGGAAGATGCGGTCGATCGCTCAGCAGGAACTCCGTTCGACCAGATGAGCAAGGACCAGCTGAGCGAACACGCGAAAACGGGCTGGGCTACCTACTTCGAAGATTCATGTGAGTGCTTTCCTGTATTATACAGGATAAGGAGTACCACTTGCTTTGCTTATCCTGTACTAGACACTAATGCTCGTACATCATTGCTATGTAGGCGCTTCACTTTAGCTGCCATCGGCAGAGCTTACACGCTGCTCCGCCACACCTACGGAGTTGGTGACAGCACTGGGAAGTAACTTGGAAGGATTATTCTTCCTGTTCCTGCCTAAATCAATGTGGGTGTCTGTCGCTACTGTATCAAATCAGTACCAGCTTCAGTATCGAACGCAGGCAGCGCACGAAATAATGGCACGGCAGCGACGGATCAAGATGAGGCGACCTGACTACAAGATGAAAACAGTACCGCAAGTCCAGACTGAGTAGCAATCATTCAAGCCAATTCAAGCTCATGAGCTGATAGATTTCATCGGTTTACTGTGTACCCGAACCCTTTGCCGCACCGCGAGAAGTTGTCGAAGCATTGGGCGGTGGATGTACAAGGCGCGGTTCCCAAAGGAACATTTGGGCGATACATGGCGAGAAAGCGTTTCGAAGAGATCGTACGATTCTTGCATTTTAGTGACAACAGTCATGCTGACGCTGTCAAGTTCAAGACGTGGAAGATCAAGCCTGTCGCCGACACGATCAATGCAACGTTCAAGCTGGGGATGACGGTGGGGCAACGAATCCCCTTTGACGAAGGAATGATACCGATGAGGAGCAAGTACAACCCCTTGCGGCAGTATCTTCGAGGGAAACCCCACCCATGGGGCACTAAGTGCTTCTTGACGTGCGATGCAAACAGCGGATACTGCTACGGGTAGGGAACGAATCAATTTGCAGAAACATTGTATAATACATGATACCAAGTAATTATTCTTCTGCCTTTTCCTGTATAGAGCCGAGATATACCAAGGAAAGCTCAACAGCGACAGTGCAGACCTGAACCAAGGCCCCAACGCTGTGATCCGTAACGTTGAAGAGGTACTTGAAGGTCTACCAAGGCGTCTGATTATCACCGACCGTTTCTACTCAAGTGTGCTGCTTTCTTCTATCCTTCTACAACGTGGAGTCTACCATGTCGGCACCATTCAAACGAACCGACGAGGTTACTATAAAGACACCCCATACAAGCAAGCTAAACGACCAAAGACGATGGCGAGAGGAGTATACCCGATTGCCCAGTCCAAGACTGAGCCGAATTTGATTGCAGTGTCCTGGATGGACAACCGCCCTGTGCACTTTATCGCGACTGGGCGTAGTACCCGGCTGACAACCCTGTCAAGACGCGCGGGTGCTGAAGTGGTTGACGTGCCAGCTCCTCATCTCGTGAAAGACTATCAAGATGGCGTGGGAGGAGCAGATATTCACCACCAGCTGCGTTTGCAAAGATACTCAATTCAGGTATTATTTACTCTTTTTCTTATCTTGTATTATACCTGACAATATAAACTAACGACCGAATGTTATCCTGTATATTACAGGGAGCGATGAAAAGGAAGAAATATTACCACACAATCTTTCTTGGGTTAGTTGACATGGCGCTCATCAACACCTACATCATCTATCGACGTGTTCAAGGCAATCTTGCTCCCGGTAAAGCACCTCCGACACATGCTGAGTTTCAGCGCCTGATACAGACTGCACTATTCAACATTGGACCGGCTGACTTTGCAGGAGACTTGTCAGCTGAAGCATTGGCAAACACCCCGGTGTCCCGCTCGTCAGCTACACGCTTCCAGCACAGCACACGACTAAGCAAGTGAGCGTATTTCGCACAACACGTGGAAAGAACGGGACACATTAACAGAGGCGCCGTCAATACGGCTGCAAGGTGTGCTTGTTGCTGCGTCCAGGCAAGAACCCGTGGGAAACCACGTTTTACTGTGTGGAGTGTTCTGAAGTGAGGCTGCGGAGCGTGGATGGCGATAACGCCATTGGAAGAGGGGAGGTGTATCTGTGTCAAAAGGTGCGGCAACATGATTCAAGTGGACCTACAAACTCGACCACCTGCAGTCAGATATGGCACGACCTTTGGCGAGGAGGAGCGAACATTCCTCCCGGTCTCAAGGCTATTCGGCTGCGTGCTCCTTCCATAGCAGATGCCCAACTTCCAGATGGAGGTCTGGAGGGTGATAGTTGTTGCGAGGACGGTTCCAGCGTCGCATCGAGTAGTAAACGAAGCAAAGCGAGCGCTGTGAATGGAGGATGTTCTGCAGGGGCTGTTAGTGAAGTGGCACATACCACAATGATCTAATCCTTTCCATGAATAATCAAATATGGAATGAATGCAAATTACTTGTTGGTGATGGTTTATGTTGATATTTAGACATTTTACCACTAGCCCTATTTGTGCAGGACAGGATATTGCGCAATATGTTAGAACCACCATTTTTACACTTACCCTGTACTGCACAGTGGAGACAACTGACAGAGATTGTGAGCTTGAAAAAACTCCGCAAATAATAAACCCAAGTCATTTTCTTACCCTGTATAATACAGGGTAATTTTCGCCCGAAAACACGGGCTAGAGGGGTTAGTACTACCACGGAGTTTTGAAAGCAAGGTTGCGGATGCGAATGGGGGACGTTGTTATAGTGCTCGAGCACCCACGGGTCACATGCGCTCCCTGTTCGAGTGGTGGAGAGTGCGCCTTTCCGCGCACGCAGCGGGACGCCGACCGCACGTACGAGATACAAATGGTTATAAAGCCGAGGTATCGGCTGAAGGTCCACGTTGACTTCAAAATGGCTGTGTGATTTGATGCGGCGTCTTGTGATGCATAGGTGCACATGAGAAATCCTGATGCATCACATTGGCAATTACCTCGAGGTATCAACCAAGAAACAGCCGCACACCGACGTCTCACTGGCGCGTGGTTGGCGCGTTGCTCTTTGACATGCCATTCTGGAATTTGAGGCGCAAGAGAGCAGTCGACTTGTGGTTGTGAGGGCCGCGAAGCGGATGGCCGGGAAACATCGGAGGTCAAAGTACATTTACGCTGGCGTCGAGAACACTACTGGTGGTGTACGGGACGAAGCAGCAGCCAAACGTCAAAAGCAAACCAGTAACGATAATGATGGTATTGTAGCACTGCTGGATACTGCCTACAAAGTGGAGAGCCTTGGTGTACATGCGCACGATGAATGAGATGGTACTGGAGTCGACGATGGTAAGGAAGCGAACCAGCTAGACAACACCAATGCCAACCTTGACATTGGTGCAGTGGCCTCTGATGCTATGATGGAGCCTACTCGCTGGAGAATGCCGTAAAAGATGATTGCAAAGTTCCTGACAGCCCATTCAGCATTGCAGGCGATGCCGTGATGCATGGCAGCGAAGCAGGAAGAAGAAGCTTTCTTGTTGGATGTGTGGGTCTTCGGTATTGAAAAAAAAACAATGGCAATGAAAGCAAAGGTGAATGCGATGGTTCCAGTCCTGGTGGGGATCATGATAAAGAAAGATACGAAACTGTGCTGGTATCACAAGCGAATGAGCTTCGGGAGCGCAATCGCCTGTACCAGCGCAGGTATCGACAGCGCGTTGCTGAGGCGAAGAAAGCTGGCCTATTTCGAGAGGTTAAATGTCAAGCAACCGTGCGATTGGCAAACTTGGAATCGGCGTAGCGTGCTGACAGATTCGCTCCGAATGTAGTGTAGTGCCCCATTAGTAAAAGTGCAAGTACATATCGATTCATTTATATTGGTTAAAAATACGCGATATGACTGCATTGAGGGTGTCAGAGCCATTGCGCAATTTTCTTCGAAGGTGAGAGGAGCTAAGGTCAGACAGCAGCAGCCCATGAGAACAAAACCTAGCTATCGTAATTATCGCTGTAATGCAGATGCCGAAAAAGCTGGGCTCCTCCAACTATACCTACGAAGAGCAGATACGCCTTGTTGCGGAGGTGGGATGTGTTCTTCCTGTCGAGGAATCTGGCTGGAAAACCGCGGGTGCCCATTTTAACGCAGAAGTAGCGTCAGGAACGCGGACTCGCAGCATCGAGAGTCTTAATGAAGATTTCACAGCATCTGGAGGGCAATATCAGCGAACCGAAGACACAGAGCTTACTAGACTCTAAGTCCTGGCCTACCAGATAAAAACGCCAAATGGACGAGCGAGAATGTCGGCTTAGGTATGGCCAGAATCCCGCCCTGCCATCGCCGCCTCAAATGGCCAACTCGACCAATCAAATGACCTCTCCGTGGAGAGCTTCACCAGAAGGTAGAAGTGTTCGATTTCAGCCGCTGGTAGCTACCGGAGCGAGATCTGAAGCTTCTCAACAAATTTAACATACCGCAAACGGCCCGTTTGCCTCTGCTTCAGTTGCCGTGACAGCCACCAGCGCTTCTGACGGGGGGTTCCAGCTGCCAAAACATGATTTGGCCTATCTAAAGGCTGAAATGGCCCGTGAGCTGCAACATATCGACCAGATCGAACAAATGGAGAGTCAGCAAGAGCGAAAGCTGGAAAGACGGCCTACACGTCGCTATTACTAGCAGCTGCAGCACATTTTGGCAATCCAGCGACAGCAAACATAAATCATTAATCAAACTTTGAGACTTAGATTTACGCATACCATATTGAAGAATTGATCCAGGCTTGCTAAATGTTTAGCTTTCTATTCATAATTCTTAAATTATACGTTTGTACTTTACGCGAATGAGAGGCGCACAACTGGAGAAGACCTCGCATATCCTGCCACTGGACAAGACCTCGCATATCTTGCCACTGGACAAGACCTCGTAGATATAGCCACTGGACTCTGACAGTGACAGCATTCCTGTCGGAGCCCATTCAATCAGTCACCATTAAAGAATTTGCTTTGGCTCAAGAAATAGTCTGCAATGTCAGGACGGGGAAAGAAAGGGCGGGGTAAAGGAGGCACGAAGCGGCATCGCTAGAAATTACAAGATAACATCGCGGGAATTTCACGCTCTTCAAATCGCAAGCTGGTGCGTCGTGCAGGGGTCATCCGAATGTCAGCACTTATCTACGAGGAAACTCGTGCGGTGCTAAACGTTTTCGTCCAGAACTGGGTTCAAGATGCCATCGTCTACACCGAGTACTGAGACTGCAAGACAGTGAGTAAAATGGACGTGCTGTACGCCCTCAAACGCCAAGATCGTACTCTCTACGGCTTTTCGTAAGGAGCTTTAGTAACTTTACTAATACAACAAGGCAGTCACAGCAAAATCGCATGTCCTCAAATGCTTATCTCGGCTTTTAGGTACTTCATTTTCACGCACTGCTAGTGTCACGCGGTGGGAGATTAGCACGGTTGAGTTGTTGTGACTGATTGGACAATGACTTTATTTGATTGGTTTGTGCAGACTAAGACGGAGCACTTTTTGTGGAAAGGATATAGTACACCAACACTACCCCAACCATTTCTAACGAACTGCGATCTCACCCTGGGACGGCAGCCCGGGTAACAGTTATAAATAATTCAATGTCTTATCGATAAAATACGATAATATTGTGAATATCTGAGTATTAAAGCAGCGATCCAGTTGTACTCAAATTGACACAGTTAGATCCGAAAATAGCGCGGCTTAGACTAATTATGCGCTTTAGTGCGAAAACGCAATTGTTCGGTCCATTAAATTATAGTGCTGTACCCTTTATATCATAGATATCCAAGCTATACATCCATAATTCACGTAAATCCCACTTTTTGCGACTCTGGCCTGATAGACACAATTCTACCCGTTTGGTAGAATCAATCCTATCAAGTACGATTGGATATTAGGATTTAGGAGCTGATCTTAGACAGGTTTATGTGTATGGTTTAAAAGTCATGGCTCTAGGATCATAACTAACGCTTCGTAATAACATCTCCAAAAAATAGAGGAATTTCTAAAATCCAGTAGTAGTGTACTGAGTTTTAGGGAGCGTTACCGTGTATAGTACTGTTTTCAGTACACGTTAAGTTCGTTATATTGTAAATTGTGAACTTAACCTTATAGGGCGCGACCACTTGGGATTTTCAAATCCGACGGATTTGAAAATCCCGCGATCTCCATGGGAGATCAAATCACCAGCGGCTTAAAACTGCGTAGCCAATGATTTCTTTTTTTTACCTGTAATACTACAGTCAGTGTCATAATTGATTTAAAGCGATTCGATCTCAAGCCTCAGCAAATGAAGGACCTTTTCCAGACTTACCGAGCTTGCTATCTCAAAGCCAAGGCGTACGAGGCGTCTACGGGTGCAGGCATCACGGCAGAAGATGAAGCAGCTGGTGTGTACACGATGGATCAAAAGTTGGAGAGCATGTGTCCTTGGTATAGTAAGATGGACATTCTGTTCGGAGCTAAGGCTAACGTAGCTCCTTTGAGTACGTTTGACTCTACTATCGAGGAACATAATGGCAAGGAAGCGCCGCTCAACAACGCAGACAACGCAGACAACTCGCTAGTGAGTAGCAACTGCTCTCCTCCACTACTAAGGGCAGCCCTGGATAACTCGCTCGACCAATTTCTAGTGTCGCCTCCTCTCGCCCAGACCGAGTTCCTTACCGAGTCCTCATCGGATGCATCCCCAATTTCAATGACCCCCAACCTTCCTATATCAGCAACCGCAGACGATGCAGTACATGAAGATCCTGGCGCTGCGCCCCAGACCACACGGAAACGAAAGGCTCACCAAGTACCTACAAACAACAGCAAGCGTCAGGCTCCCGTATCCTCTAGAAAGCTCGAGCTACCAACACTTAACTCATCGCCCCCGACATCACCTGGAGCCGCGCCAAGGCACGCAATAGCTGGTGCTATTAAAATAGTAGCAAAGGCAAAGTCAACGGGTAAGTACACTGCGACGTGTAAATATCTTATTGATTAGCCCACTAACATTGTGTGATTTTATTACATTCGAAAAAAGGCGCTTGAATTTTGATTGAGAGCGCTGGACTAGCGAAGCTGGGCAAATATTTGTGTGCGTTCTCTATGATACTTTTACTGCATTTTGTATTTGCTTACTTTGCTTTATTTCGCCCACCAGCACAGCAAGCAATTGATCGAGAGCGACTAGACTTTGGGAAAGAAACGTAGAAGGAGGAGCGAATTGATCGTCAACTCGAGGTGGGAAAACAGCAGCGTTTTCAAGTACTGAGCTGGCTCATCGAAAATGGACGCACAGCAGAAGAAGCAAAAGCATTTTTAGATCTTCTGGGATGTATAGCCGCGTTTACTAGTACAGATATCTGCAACACCTACATGCATTCATACGTAGCAAAACGGTGCATCTGCAGCGTAATTGATTTTACTTTCTCACGAATAGACCTTTCAGTATCCCCTTCAATCGAATCAATAATGCCATCATCTTCATCGTCGTCTGATGCCATGCACTTCCATGCGTCACCCAGTTTTGCAAGCATGTTGTGCAGTGTACAACACCCCAGTACCCACTCGATGAAGAAGTCCATTTCAGCTTTTGATCGTAGCTGGTTGCGCATCTCTCTTAGGGAAGCCCACCTTGACTTCAATATACCAATAGTATGCTCGTTGCTGAGACGAGACTTAGCGAGGTAGAAATTAAACTCGGTGTTGTCATAGTTGTCTGCTAGTGGGCGCTTGTACGCTGGCACTACTGTAGAGAGTGATGGATATGGTGAGTCTGCTAGGATATATTCCCCAGCTGGAAAAAAGATGGTGGGTCACGGTAGATGCCAATTCGCTTGAATACATTAGAATTTGCACTGGACTCAGGACAACCACAGTGGACAGCGATGATTCGCTTGTCGTTATCGCAAACTAATTGCAATGCCACAGATTACTTGCATACAATAAAATTTACTGACAGAAAATAAAGTTTTGTCTTTCAACAAACGTAATTCCGTGCGTCTTTTTTTTCTTTCTACCGAAGTAGCTGCTACCATCTAATGCAGGTCGCTGTGATAGTGGCATCGTGGTCCCGTCAATAAAGCCAAGACATCCAGGAAACCTTTGCCGCCATTTCTCGCGCGATTTCTCGTCGTCTACCAGGTGACGGCCACTCCAACCACTGCGAACACAAAGTCTTAAGCGCCGTTAATACCCGCTTTGTGTATTTCACGACAGACTCAACTGATATGACAAAATGACGGTGTAGATGGCCAACACTGGCGTCATTCTCATTCTCACTAAGACGTGCTAATGCCATTGCTAGTTGCCAGCTCACTGGTTGCTGTTTGTGATGACCATTTGGAGACGTTGACTGAAACACTGGGTTGTCGTGTATGTAGTTGTGGAGGGCGCAAAACGACCACTTGGAAATCCGAGTAAGCTGCCTAAAGTCCTTGTCACTTAGTGCAGTAAGAGCTGCAAGACTGCTGTCCGCATGCGATGAGCCGATGCGAGATGTGAGATACCGGCTTGTGTCTACGGGCAAGTATGCCGCAAGAATACGCTCAACTGTGTCGTCATCTCCACTTGAAAGATAGAACACATAGAGTGCTTGTAGGTCGGACAGCAAAGCCTTCCTCGTTGAGTGGCGCGGCATTGGCTTCTTGTTTTGCCCCTCTTCCCAGTGCCACGCGTGTTGACGCAACCAAAATACCCTGGGTATTTCCAAATCCACCACCTTCGGAGGTGGTGGATCAGTGCTGGTAATGACGTCTATATAAAGATGTCTCAGACGTCTTTTCGTTTATACACCGTCTTTTGAGGCGTCAAAACTGTCTTTTCGAGGTCTCTAAGCCCTTTTTACGGGTGTCGTTTCAGAGATGTCCGTAAAAATAAACTTTGATTTCATTATGCTATCGTTCGTCAATAGTTCACTATTAAGGTCATTGCTACGAAGACCTGAGTCTCAGCTGTGCGAAAAGCGACGTAGCGCAAGGTCAATGCTGCCGCTGCTGCTGGCGTTACTTAGAAGTGCTGCCACTGACGAGGAGATCGAGCCACAGACAGTGATATCCAAGTTTGCGGCGTAAGAAGCAGACCAATCTTTCCCCACCCTCACTTTAAGCAGTCGTGTCCTGACGACCACTGGCATTGCCTTCAAGTCTTTAGCTTTGCTTCATAGTTACTGTCGCTGACGAGATGAACATGCGTGATATTCTGAGCACGTCCATGGGCGAGGAGCTGCCCTGTGACGTCGAGGTGTTCCTTATGGGTGAGGAGGTTGCCGAGTACAACGGCGCTTACAAGGTTTCCAAGGGGAGGGGGGGGAGGGGGAAGTACGGCTACAAGCGTATCATTGACACGCCCAAGAAGCTGGGCTTCTTGGGTCTGGCCGTCGGCGCTGTCCACCACAACACCAAGCTTATATGACGTTCAACTTAGGCGCACAGGCTATTAACCGGATCATTAACTCATCCGCCAAGCTACATGCCCAATGGCGACATCCACGTGGCTATCGTCTTCCGCGGCTTGAACTGCCGTGTTGCCGGTGTTTTGGTATGTATTTTCCTCTCTATTGGGAACCAAATATTGTGTTACTGAGAATTCCAATTGCTACGTGTTGTTTGTTGTATAAGCCTCTCATCATTCGCAGTGCAACACCGCCCGGTATGGCAGCGTCCCGGCCTCAAGATTGTGTCTCCCTACGACTTGGAGGACGCTCGCGGTCTGTTTAAGGCTGCCATCCACACCCGAACCCGGCTGTAGTGCTTGCGAATGCGCTTACGTACAGTGTCTCGTTCCCCGTGTCCAAGGAGGCCCAGGACAAGGACTTTGTGATTGAGTTTGACAAGGCCAAGGTCATGATGCCGGGCACGAACGTCACTGTAGTTGCCTTCTCCCGTACGGTGGGCGAGGCCCTTATGCCCTTGTTAAAGAGGGAACGGACGCCGAGTGAGCAACCTAGGTTCTATCCGCCCGTTCCACCGTCAGGCTATCATTGACTCTGTGAAGACGACCAACCACATTGTTTCCATCAGAAGGGCTGGGGCCAGAGCGGCATTGGCTTCGAGATTGTTGGTATCATTATGGAGATGGAGGCCTTTGACTATCTGGACAACAATCCCCTGAGCGCGTGACCTGCCGATACCGTACGCTAAGAACCTGGGCAAGGTGTCCCTCCCGCAGGTCGAAGACGTCGTTGCTGCCGCAAAGCACACCCTGGCGCCCAACCTGTAAACCGAGCCCCTCTTTATATCGAAATAACAGGCCATGAACAAAGACGTCGTCCCCACTTTGACTTAAGCTCAAGAATCTCGAGGTATCAAGGAAAGCCGAGTTCTCAGTATGTACGTACTCGCTACATCGCAGTAACAAGCATTGTACTCAAGAGCAAGTAAGAGTGGAGAGGTTGACAGTAGCAAGGGATTAATTGAACCCGATCATACGTCCCATCATTTAGTTTGCAGAATTTGACAAGAATGAAGTATCTTAGAATAATATATACCAACTCAAATGCTGAAATTCTCAAGAGCTTCTACACGTCCACATCTCGTTTAAAGCGTGTTTTGCATGGAGAATAACTCCACTAGCGGCATCTTCCTGCCTCGTAGCCCCGGAAGTTTTCTTGATTCTTGAGCGAAGCGGGGGTCATTGTCTTCAGGAATAGGTACAACACGGAGCTGTGATTCGTCGAATTGGACGTTAAGCTCCTCCTCTTCTCCTTCGTGCATGTCGAAATCCTCGGAGCTAGGGGGGGATTACCGTCCATTTCGCAGAAAAAATCGCACCAATGCGAAAGAATATCGTCGGCCTCAGTACTGGCATCATCGGTGGAAGGTCGATGTTGCTGGGGCAGCGTCCGATCGACTGGTTGCTCGTTGGATGAACGGGATAGTGAATCGTCCGAGCACTGATCCATAGCAAAGTCCAATGACCGATAGTGAGAAGCTACGCGTCGAACTCGAGGCTCCGTTGAAACTGATCTACACCGAGCACTTGGGCTGTTTTGATTTGACTGTGAAAGCCGAGTTGGCCGTGCAACTGATGGACAACGTGGGTGAGAAACTGCGGACATTGCGATTCTGGAGAGCAATTTGGGACAGGCTGCTGGGTGGCCGAGTTGTCTGTAGAAGTTACAGTCAGGCCACCGTCTGCCTCGATTGAGAATCCCACTGATCTTCGGGGTGCCGCATGCAACCAGCTATCCCATTTGACCGGACGCTCGGCCGATTTAACAATTCGCCCCACAAACTTATTGCCATCACCATCTTCCTCGACAACTTCGTCATCACCATGCCCTTCGCGCTTGCTGGCTTCGCGATCGCGCTGACGAACGACTTCGCTAATGATTGCAGCCTTGTTCGTTTTACCTGCCTTAATGCAATTGCGTGTTCGAGTGTGTATACGACTAATTGCACTGAATCTCTGCTCGCACGTTGCTGTATTTGCTGCTATTGGAAGTACCGCAAGAACAAGATCTGGCAAGTTTGGTCCAGGTGACTTGCCTTTGGCATAACTCCAAAATGCTTGGGCACTGGGGAATTCATCGTAGCTGATATAATCCGATTCTCCAATGTACAATGAATTGCGGGACCACTGAAACACGTGATGGCGAAGCATACCGGGACTTCTTTTTGGGAAGAATCGTTTGAAGTAATACACGGCGAACGAGCACACGGCATTAATAGAGAGAGATACCCGCTGGGAAGGGCCTTCACCTCGTCAACGTATCCAGGAGTACCGCCAAAATGGACCAGGGTTTTTCGCAGTCGGCCCACCGCCCTTTCACAAGGGGAATCAACTCTGAAGCATGTGGACCACCAGCAAAACTATCGAAAATGTCCCGGTACATCATGATAACGTCGACTAAAGTGTTTTTATCACGCTGCAATGTATACGAAGCATTGCACAAAGGACGAATTGTCCGTTCAGCGTCAGCTAACGTATTCCAGAAAATTTCATAGAGAAACACTTTCACCTGTGACGGAACTTCAGTATCATACTGATATCGAGTTGCGAACTGCTTTAGTCCAGTCTTGACACGCAGTTGTGAGGCAAAACACGCCTGCATAGAGTTCCACCGCGTGTAGCAAAGCGTCAGGAAGGCCAGAGGCTTCACAAGGTCGTAGGTTTCCATGATTATGGCGTTCACGCGTGGGAGCCACTTCGAAGAGGATCCATTTAGTGCGTTTACGGCAGCATAAGCTTGGTTAGCAATAAACCAAAAGCCTCTTCGTGTCAAAATGGCTTTTACCAAATTATTGATATCGTGAGCGAAACATTTACCGAAGTACACGTGTGGTCAGCGAATAGTTAAAACCTTTCGAGCGCGCGAACATTGACCAGCATCGTCGGTAATACAAGATCCAACATTCCACCCTTTAGAAATCAACGTGTTCATCAATGTTTCAAGTTTTTGTACGAACGCAAGCCCGTGCTGGTCCGATCCAACGCCGTGTAGACCCTCCACGACACTAAGTCCAAAATGAGATAATTGAGCTCCAAGTAAGTGAGTTCTGGCAATATTTTGCCAGACGTCGCTCAGCAGATTAACCGTCCCACCTGTATCTTCCTGAAACTTGCGCAGATTCTTCTCCATACACTCACTCGCGCACTCATTCAATATGCGACCACCCAAGACGCGTCATGAAGGAATAGATGGCAAGCATTCAGGACTAGAAAGCAGAAAAGTCGTCTAGTTGTACCATCCTCTACAAAAGCGTCCGGTAAAGCCATACAAACTTGAAACTCCAACAGAAGGCGCTCAAATTGACGCCGTTCGTCTGGGGAATACGGTCTAGGCACATCAGTTGTTCCGCCCTTCTCCAGGTGCGTTGCTTGGTCCAAACCTTGGGGGCTTCCAATATAAGCCCCATGGAGCGGATGACCGATACAGCGGTGCTCCCGATGGGAAGGAGGCTGTAGGTGGCGGTCGTCAGGACAGGGAGGCCCGATGCGCGGAAGATACCCTTTGAAAGACCCGTGTTCGCTTGGGGTTAGTGGGACTGGTACATTTTTTTGTGTCAGTGATACCGTGCACGTTCCGTAGATGATTGTCAAAGTTAGGCTGCCTCCCCGTAATTGGTGGCGACCATGGTGGGCTAGGCGCAGTTGAGCCGGCAAGTCTACGTGCTGCTGCTTGTAAATAATGGACAGAGACGCAGTGCTTGCATCGGTAGGGATAATGGGAAGCATTAACCTTCCGCGTGCCCCAGCGCACCAAATGCTTGCGGACAGGGCACCCAGGACGCCCCACTGTGGGTCGATTAAGCGGCTGTCGGATTTAACGTTAGCTAAACGAACTATTAAGGAGACAAGCACAGTGAGGGCGTACCAGAGAAGACGTGTACTGTGTGAGAGCTTGCTCAACACCAGGGAAGATCGTGACTGGAAAGAATCTGGAATCACCCGAGGAAATACATAGGTTCAAGGTTCAACATAGAAATTCACCCCAGTTTTGCAACAAGTCCACCAATCTTTCACCACGTAGGAAGTTTTGGCAAGAATCGTTCGATCTCGACCGTTGTAGCGCGAGCGCTTAGCTAGGTTGTCATCAGTGTTAGCGTTATCTATTTAAAAAGATAAAGTGCTGCTCCTGTTTCGGTTATAGTACACTGTACCCCTGAATAGACGTCTTTAGACGTCTATAGACAAAAAAGACGTCTGAAAAGGTGTTTATACGTGTCTTTTCGAAAAGACGTCTTTACTGTCTATTGCCAGCACTGGGTGGATATCGGATTGGAGAAATACAGTGGTACTCCGGTGAAATTGTGCGGATTTGCTCGCCGCCTAAATTTGAAATATATGCCAAAAACGTCGATTTTGAAACCCCCTATTTAGTGATACTGACTTGCTTTGCATTCGCTGCGGTGTGTAGGTAGCTTCTTCCCTTGTCTCTCCCTTGTAGGCTGTTACAGCCACACATAGTCGATGGTCTCCAACTCAACGTCAACTTTTTGTTTCCATTGTATGTTTTTAGCAGGTTCCAGGTTAGTTCTCGATAGCCGACCGACTGTAAATAGAATTCTAAATTGTGTACCCAGAGTTTCGCATAGAGACGCTCTACGTCGAACATTTCTTGTTCTCTTCCATGTCTTGCTTGCGTCAAAGTGAATAACCTCTTGCATCTCTGGTTAATCGCAGTACAAGCCAGAGCATCTTCGGTACTGGAATAGACGACGGTAGATTCCGATTTTGCTTGAGCTTGTAGAAGGAGCCGTCAGTCTTTTGGTTAAAGTTTCGTGCGTGCTTATTGCGCTTGTTAGGTGGAGGCATCTTGCAAAAACGAAAGTGCTGAGAGATGCAAGAAGTCCTGATGCATATATAGGATTGTTGAGGATAAAGCCAATGTTCTGCTGTCAAAGGGCAGCAATGGCCTCACCGAGTGACTTACCGCAATATGCATAACGATTCATCGATTACGGACGTCAAGGTGGTAGTTCCGCGACTCATGGAGTGCATTGTACTACAATCTGAAGAATATCTCAAGTTGGGCCTCAAAGTGCCAACATTTCAGTTGTGCACTTGCAATAGACTGTTTCGGTACACTGCTAGCACGCATGCGTACTTATGATTGCTACTGGTTTTTTTTTTACGGCAAGCTACCCGTCCAGGTATCCATGAGCAGGTATTTTTCAGGTTTCGAAGCAGGTTTTGTCGAGGTACCGAATTAAATGTATATTTCCGAAATTTTCATTTGGCACCACAGCCACACATTGCCACGCGGCAGCTTCCAGGCCCAGCGCGCACTCGCTCCCTCCCCCTTGCCATGGCACGGACGCACAAGACTGCCCAGATCAAGGCCCAAATGGCGGAGAAGGCTCGCATCGAAGAAGAGGAAGCACGTCGTCGTGAGGAGGCTCGAATCGCGGGCCTCGATAGTGCGAGAACGCGCTCTGAGAAAGCTGGTGCGCTTGTCCGTGCGTGCGAGCGCCAGAATGTAGGGTCGACGGACTCTAGTACTTCAGGGGCTAAAGCCCCAGTGGTAAACAAAGAGCCCGACGCCAAAGAATCCGCTGGTGAAGAATCAGAAGATGAAGCCTAAGAAGAAGAAGAATCAGAAATAGAAGATGAAGCAGATAAAGAAGAAGATGAAGATAAAGAAGAAAATGAAGAAGAAGAAGCAGAAGTAGAACTTGAGGAGAAGCCTCCCGCCAGTCGAGATACTAAAAGAAAGAAGAGAACTTTTTCGGACGTGGAAGACGAGGAGTTAGTGAGAGTTTCTGCTTTCAAGAAGGAACACGACTCCTGGGCAAGCCTGGAGGTTAGCTTGCGAGAGTATATGAACACAACGCACCAGAAGATAGTGATCAAGGAGGTTATTCATACTGCACGGCGCAACGCTGCTCTTCGGTCTCAAGTACGGTTCAAAGGGCGACCAGACTCTGAAATTCCACTCGTCCCGGCCGAACTAGAGCCGTACCAACGCAAGTACATCTGCACACACGGGTGGTCTGAGCGAGAACGTTCAACTGAAAAGCGGACTTCGCATGCACTTCGCCGCACGGATTGCCCGTTCCAGATACTAGCCCAATTGACGAAGAAGACGGATGGATCCTGGTGCGTTTCGATTAAACGTGAGGTCTACGAGCACAACCACTTCGTTTCCGAGGATATCTACAGGTTTTTATCCAGGTATTCGGCAGGTTTCTGCTGACTCGCCGCTCATGCCTGGGGTTGAGTTGCTGGTCGAGGCTCAGGCTGGGACATCAAGCGTCTACGACTACATTCGCAGCAACTCAAATCACTGCGTGACCATGGACGACGTCCGCAGCATGATTTCGCGGTTGCGGAGTAAAGGCAAGTTAACGGGAGGTTGATGCTCTACCAAATCTAACAACGCACGATTGTGTGCACCAGGTGTGGAACTTTCTGACAATGATGCGGTGTCTGAGATGATTGTGGAGTTTAATCTGGAGTCGTCAAAGAACGTGTCGACTGTCAATGAGAATGCTCGCGGTGATAC